ATTTTTATACATTATTCCATGAAGTTGATTTTTCTATTTTTGTAATAAATTACCATCCAGACAAGCTAGTTTCCTCATTCTTGAGTTTTTGTACTTATGAGATTTCCCTGCAATCTTACGATCTCACACATCAGTAAATGAGTCTGATTTAAAAAAGGTAAATACATATTGATCAGTAAATCTGGTCTGGTTCCCCCAAAAGGTAAATCAGTGTGGTGGAAGGCAGAAACTGTTATCACCCTTCTTTTTCTCCCATTTGTTTTTGCTACAATAATAAATATGTTTCTCCAGTTCAGATGACTTGCGGAAGCAATCGTGTCTTTCAAATACTGAGATCAAACAACACTCGGGAGTGACAGCAATTGTTTCATCTTCTGATGTTCAGATAGCAGAAGGGGTTACTGCTTTTTGAAATCTCTGGGTCTTGTTGGTCAGTAATGTCTCTCTACCCATCTGCAAACATGATTTTCAGTCAGTTGCTCCCCATTTCCATCATGGTTCGATGGTCAAATGATGCAGATCCAGATTACTTAGGAAATGCAGCAGAGTTTGTTCTTTGTTTGTGTGTGTGAATATGAATATATTTCTCCAGCTGGATATTTGAGTCAAAGATGGTTGCTTTGGAAATATTTAGTCATAAAAACAGAACAATCTCTTATAATGTACAGAACATGCAACTTAAAATATTCATATTTCACACTCAATAAAACCACAAGACTCATTAAGACCACAGTTTAGCTTAAAAAAGCCAACAGTAAAACAGCTGGCAGTTCATTTTTACAGAATAGGTTTCAAAATTTCAGAATCAAAACTGTCAAAGGAGTGTGGAGTTTGAACAATCCCCTTGACATATTTTCCCAGAAATAATTATTTTGAAAGCTGACCGGAAACAGTGATAAAAGAAAGCATAAATGAATGGATTAAGCATTGAATTAGACAACGTGAGCCAATTAAGTGTTTCATACACTGGCACTGATACACCACCTAACAGCTGCAAAGAGAAACAAAGAAAGAAAGGCAGCCAGCACATTAGAAAAGCTCCCAGAACAATAGCCAGAGTTTTTGTGGCCTTCCTTTCCATGCTACTGACAGTAACCACAGACTTTGTTGTGCTCTGGATGCTTTGTGCCTGTTTCTGAGCAATAAGAAATATCCTCAAYTAGATATACAACATWATGGTTACAGGYAGGTAAAATGAAAAAACAGGTGSCAAYGWTWTTTCAAGCACAACATCATAAAAACAYTTTTCTTTGCATTMTTCTTMGTTTAWCTCTGAAATYACAAAGCCWATAGCAACTAAAATGGAAACAACCCAGCTCACAAGGATCATAATTCCAACTACATGGACATTTATCTTTGTTCTGTAGACCAGAGGCTTGCACACTGCATAATATCTGTCTACAGAAATACAACATAAATTGAAAAGAGAAGTTGTGCTTAAGATAACATCACAGCTGTCTCGTATTTTGCAGAACACATCTCTGTAATACAGACAAGCAGTGAGAGGGAAAGATATGCTCAGAGGAAAAACTACTATTCCTACAAGCAGGTCTACCACAGCTAGAGAGATGATGAGATAGTTAGACGGTGTGTGGAGTTGTTTGAAATAAATGACAGAGAATATTACAAGAAGGTTTCCACATACTGTGACAACAGAGAGTAAACCAAGGAAAATATACAGTAAAACACATGCTGTGGAAGAAGTCCTCGTCAGTGTTTTAGAAACATTATTTATTTCATAGCAAGGATGGAAGTCATAACTAACATAAAAAGAATCTTCTGCCATTGATTTRAGATGTGTTCAAAATGAGACAATGTATTTAATTATACATATATGCACATTTTAGTTTAGATTACACAAGACGAACATTACTTCTCTCAAAGAAATCATTTCTACCTCAAGTCTCAGAGCAGTTCTTTACCACAGCCAGTTTACCTCAGTGCATCAGTGTTATTGCCTGTTGACTCAGCTGTGGTATCACTGAGTTTTAATATTCATCATCCCTCCTAAAAAAAAACTTGTCCAATGAGAAGTTATAAAAATGAGATTTTTTCATTTAACCCTGCGTGTGTACTAAAGGCAATATACATATACAGTGGGGGAAGTAATATTGGATCCCTTGCTGATTTTGTAAGTTTGTCCACTTACAAATACATGAACAGTCTATAATTTTAACAGTGAGAAATAAAATATTTAAAAAAATACAGAAAATTACATTGTATAATTTATATGAATTTACATTTTGGAGAGAGAAATAAGTATTTCATCCCCTACCAACACTTTAAGAGTTCTGGCTCCTACAGACCAGTTAGATCAACTTGTTACCTGCATCAAAGTTCAGTCCATTTATCATTAAAGAGAGATGTTTTAAATCGTCACCTGTATAAAAGACTCCTGTCCACAGGCTCGATTAATCAGACAGACTCTAACCTCTACAACTTGCACAAGACCAAAGGGCTGTCTAAGGATGTCATGGACAAAATCATAGACCTGCGCAAGGCTAGAATGGGCAACAAAACCATAAGTAAGATGCTGGGTGAGAAGGAGAAAACTGTTGGTGAAAATGGAAGAAAATGGAAGAAATTCAAAATGAAATTCAAAATGACTGTCAATCTACATCGATCTAGGGCTCCATGCAAAATCTCACCTCGTGGGGTATCCTTGATCATGAGGATTGTGAAAGATCAACTTAAAACTACATGTGGCAAACTTGTTAATGATCTCAAGGCAGCTGGGACCACAGTCACCAAGAAAACCATTGGTAACACATGARGTCATAATGGATTAAAATCCTGTAGTGCTTGCAAGCTCCCGCTGCTCAAGAAGGCACATGTGCAGGCCCGTCTGAAGTTTGCCAATGAACACCTGAATGATTCTGAGTGATTAGGAGAAGRTGCTGTGGTCAGATGAGACAAAAATTGAGCTCTTTGGCGTTAACTCAATTTGCCATGTTTGGAGCAAGAGAAATGCTAACTATGACCCAAAGAACACCATCCCCACTCTCAAGCATGGAGGTGGAAACATGTTTTTGGGGTGTTTCTCTGCTAAAGGCACAGGACTACTTCACCGCATAAGTGGGAGAATGAATAGAGTCATGTTCTGTAAAATCCTGAGCAACAACCTCCTTCCCTCTCCCAGGATGTGTCGTGACTGGGTCTTGCAGCAAGACAATGACCCAAAACATACAGCCAAGGTTACAAAGGAGTGGCTCAAAAAGCACATTAAGGTAATGAAGTGGTCTAGCTAGTCTCCAGACCTTAAGCTCATTGAAAAACCTATGGAGGGAGCTGAAACTCCGAGTTGCCAAGTGACAGCCTCAAAATCTTAGTGATCGAGATGATCTGCAAAGAGACCAAAATTCCTCCTGACATGGGTGCAAACCTCATCATCAACTACAAAAAAGTCAGACTGCTGTGCTGCCAACAAGAGTTTTGCTACCAAGTATTAATTCTTGTTTGCCAGTGGGATCAAATACGTATTTCTCTCTGCAAAATGCAAACAAATTTATGTAATTTATACAATGTAATTTTCTGGATATTTTCTTTATATCTGTCACTGTTAAAATTAACCTACCATTAAAATTATAGACTATTCATGTTTTTGTAAGAGGGCAAACTTGCAAAATCATGTCTGGTGTGGATGAACTTGACAGGTCTGTAGAGAGTACTGACCTCAACACAATAGAACACATTTGGGATGAATTAGAGCAGAAACCGAGCCAGTCCTCGTCCAATTTCAATATGTCACCTTGTGAGGGTTCACATAAGCCAGCAAGAGAGAGAGAGACACCATTGATGAAAAATGGTTGTAATTTATTTACAAAAACTCAAAAAGCTTCAGCTTTGGGCCCATAAAAGAGGTCAAAATAATAAACTTCAACTAAGGTACCAACTTAGGAACTAAAGCAAAACTGACCTTGAGTAAGACAAAAGGAGAACTTATAAAGTGGCTGACCAGGTCATTCTGACAAAAAGGAGGGTGCGGGTGGGGACAAATAAAATAAATATACTAAATTACAAATACAACTAACAACAAAAACTGATCAAAGTAATACTTAACTTTAGTCTAAGAAAATAAATATTTACAGTCTCAAAAATTAACTAATGGAAACATCAGAAATAAAAATACATGATTCATGACATTAAGACTGTGAATGGAGAGATCAGAAAGACATGGATGGATGGAAGGATTGTGCTTGGACGGGTTRGGAGTAAACTCTGAACAATGTAGGAAGCCAAAGAAGGCTAGCAGAGACACTGATTCTAAGGTCAGGTCTATGGAGGGGAACAGATAACCGGAGCACAATATGAGAATGCAAAGTCTAAGAAGGTCTGCTGTGAATGGTAGGCAGTGAGAGGGGCCTGAAGGTTCTTGCTTTTTGCATCCTTTAAGAAGAATGGGTACATGGCAATGAGAGATGGATGGGCAGCTATGAACTGTTACCAGCTTGATAAAGAAACTGATGCCAGACAAATATGTATGAATGGTAGAGGAATGTATTTTGAGGTCTGAATGAGAGTAGGTGATAAAGTTCACATGAGAAGATGTAAAAAATGYCAGGTTTGCGGTCCTGGACTGTAATAATTCAGTTTATGATGGAGGACGGTTGGAAATAAACGTGTATCGCAAACCCACCCACATAGACCAGTATTTGCATTTTGACTCCTATCACCCACTGGAGCACAAGTTAGGAGTCATCAGGACTCTGTACCACAGAGCAGACAGAGTCCCCACAAACATAGAGGAGCCAGAGAGAAAGAGAAGTCACACATAAGACAGGCCCTGGAGCAGTGTGGTTATCCTAACTGGGCTTTCCTGAAAGCAGACAAGAAACCCAAACAMGATTCCAGCCAACAACCAGGTGAAATGTAATGTTACAACTCGTGGATCCCTGAAGGCCAACGCTCCAAACACCACCCACCGTTAGCATCCATCGGCTCCTGGAACCGAGATCCTCCATCTGAAGCGGACAGCCGAGCCGCTGGACGGTTCTCCGACACCACGTTCCTCCTCCTGCTCAGCTCCCGGTACACTACGAAGGCAAGGAGACCCAACCCGGCTGTAGCCCCGACAGCTAGTCCAACTAAAGCGTGCCTCCCGAGCGAACCGCTCATTTCTCCACTCTCCGGTTCGGTTTCAGTTTGGCCTTACGCTCCAAACACCATGCTGGTTCCGACGAAAACGAAAAAAAAAAAAAAAAAACCTCATGTCGTCATCTTTACGTCGGGCGCCTCAGCAGCGACCTTATCATCATCATCAGCCACATGATCTGTTCAACACGAGAGACGATTTACTTCCTTTAACAACCTGCATGTGCGAGTTAACACAGTTCACTAGAAACAGCTTCTAACATGTTTACAACAGCTACGTCACAGGATGTGTCGGTTTCAGATTTCAAAATAAAATATTTTTCAATTTTTGACCAACACACCGTACCAGCTGGTGGCGGTAATGCACCAATTTCATTGTTTATCAAATACCAAAGAAGAAGGAGAGTAAAATAATCAAGAAGCATTCACCTAAGATTATTATTATGGAGGGCCCCTTCATTCAAAAATAAATAAAGAAATATTCCATTAAGTAAATAAATG